AGGGATTTCTGGAGTCTTTCTGTCACATAACTCCGCTGGCTACAGCTATCAAAAATCATTCTAATATTTTGTGTGCTACCAGGTGTTTCCACATGTGACACTTGAGCTCTAGCAGTTTGTAAGAGCACATTATTTTTTGTACTAACAAACATACTGGTTGATGGTGTTCCGATGGCTTCAGAATCAAATTGTGGTGTAACAACTGAGTTTGGTGGGTGGAGGGTACTTGCGGGACAAACTGGATTACCTGGGGAGTACGGAAATTGAGGTGCATGCATGTTTGTTGCTGGATAGGTTGGTACAAATGGGTTGCTGGATGATATATTTGTCTGTTGTGGTGTAAATGGAAATGCAGAGGCATTTGGTACATGTGGGGTATTGGAATGACAAGGTGGGCCAACTGGGTAGTATGGGGGTTGATGTACAAGCATGTTTGTTGATGGACATAAGGGTACAAATGGAGGATTTCTTTGTTGTGGTATATTTGGGCTAATTGATTGTGGGGTGTAGGTCTTAGGCTTACTACGGGTTTCACATATGGATGTATGATGATTATTACCACAGTTATAACAGGGTTTTCCCGATTTGCAATCTCTAACTAAGTGGCCAGTTTTAAGACATTTGAAGCATTTACCCCGTCGACACAGAATCTGCTTTCTAGCAGAGATATCGGTCACAATCGTACAGTTAGATGATGGATGGTTCCCATTACAAAATGTACACCATGGCCCTTCCCTTGATTGAACACTCTTGTTCTCTGTTAGCAAGGCAGCTGTAGATGATTGATAACGATTGATATATTTCCCTTTGTCTCTTTGACTGAAATGTTGTTCTTTCCGCTGACCAGTACCACTGACAAGGGTACATTTCTCTCGCAGTTGCAATTCTGTATTAAATATCTTGAGAAGTGGTTCTAATTTCCACTCACCAGATGGCAAATCCCTCGTAATAATAATCCTCAATTCTTCTGGAATCTTTGACATAACAACTGGAGCAAGAAATGAACCATATGTATCTGGAGAAACACCAACATTTCGTAGACTTCGAACATGCGATTCCAACTTGTCATAAATATTTCTCAGTTTCTTCACCTCACCCATTGATGTAGCTTCGGGCAATTTCAACAAGGAATCCATTTGACTTGAAATAACAACTTGCTTATTCCCATATCTTTCTTAGTTTAGTAATTTGATAGCTTCACAATAATTTTCCTTTGTAAGCGAAAATCCACTGATTGTTTCTGCTGCAGAACCATGTAATAATGATTTCAAGTAATTGAATTTGTCCACATCACTTAATGACGAGTTTGACCCAACTGCAGAATCGAACGAATCCCAAAATGCCTGCCAGTCAACAGGATTACCCGAGAATTTATTCAGAGACAACTTAGGTAATTTAGCCTTGATAGGTGCAGTACTTGGTGTAAGAACTGGTTGATGTGGACTCACTTGAACTTTTGCACTTTCCGTCAATACAATATCAATTTGAACGAGGCATTCGTCGACTGTGGCATTAAACTCTGAGCTATCAATAATTTCCTTCTCGATATTATCTTTCGCGTTCAAAAGATCGACAATTTCACTATTTATACTTTCCAAGAGAGCCATTTTACCTTCTAAAATTCGTTTATTTACTTGTAGCTTCCGACAGATATCTTCAGTAATTTCACCAGCAATCAACTCACGAGATTTTGTCATAACGCTTTCTACAAATGTACGATGGCCTTGACGTGCCTTGATTTTCTTCTTGACATCCGCCATACTTGATATATTTCAACGAGATTCAATACAAATATTTCGATAAAATTCCAACTTTAAACACTTGAATTTGCTCTAAATTAGACTCAATACTTCCCGGGAGTCGGCACCATGAAATAAAATGTTGATTACTTCTGATAAACTTCGATAAATGTTGATTATTTTCTTGATAAACCTCGATCAGAACTTCAAAACATACAGATTACAAAAACAGCACATTGCGCCATCATTACGTCATGCATAATTTCTACGTCATGCATAATTTATCGCGATAATGTCAATTATTTTCTACAGTGCATAAACGTAAGCATAAGAAGAATGCAACATTTGTACTTCTTATGCTTACGTTTATGCACATCAAAGGTTCCGCTGCTTGTGCTTATTTCATCGTGTGAACCAGGCTTTAGAGTTCACTGGCGCACAACGAACTTATTTTACGAAACCAAGATGGCGGATATTATGAAATGCAATATAGAATGAAATATAGAATGAAATGTATGTTCCACATGTCTACAAATAGTATTACCTACCTAAAAATATAGTTCTCGAGGGTTTTGACGTCTCACACTCGCTCTCACGATTTGCCATGCCATTAGCCGGCCCGAGTAAACTCGATTCAAAACATTTACACACAATATAAGCTTCTATTAAATTCAGCAAATCCTCCCTACTCGCTTACATTTAGTCCATTATAGCTCTGTCGCAAACGTTTGTCGACAAGTTCCACACGTGCACATTTCTTGTACGATGTTCGATCTGCCATTGCGTATAAGTTTTAAAATACCAGAGATTTCAGCTAAGCGGTCCCAACACTTTCAAATTGTCTGTTTTGAGGCAAAATAAAACCTGAAATCCTGCCATTGGGAGCGGTTTAGGGTAGAAAAAAACTCCAAACGTTGCCAAATACAACGCAGAAAATGCTTTATAGGCCGTGAGATGAGGGTTGAAACTTGAAAATATGCTTAGAAAACAGATTCCGTAGCACCCCTCGTGTAACTACATAATTTTTACATGAATGGATAGATTAGAACTTACTTAGTTAGAATCCACTCCCCCCAAGCGAAATAGTTGCACAAATTGAGGTACAGCCTCTCCAAACTACAGGCTTCTTCGAACTTTGAAATCCGTGAACCGCCATTGTTGTGTTGCAAATACGCATGCGCTTGACCACAAAACACTTAATGCGCACGCGCATATTAGAAAAACTGATCTCAATCCAGGACTGGACAACACCGCGGAAAAACGTCTGCGCATGCGCCAACCTTACCTGTAATAGTATTGCGAACTTGATGAGAATTGATGAGAAGCTGTTCCGAATGTTTCCGAAAGCTCAAAATGGCGGTAAAAAGGAGTGACTTCATTGTGCGTCTTTACAGCCAGATTTCGAGCGCAAAAATAAACATGTCATTCTAAAAACTAGGAATAAATACAGCCAGAAGGTTCAAGAAATTGTATTGTACAAGAACATGAACTAAAGGTGATTGTTGACAAATTTATTGTCTGAAACATTTTGTTTATCAACTAAGCAACGACAATTTCCGAATTTTCGTTTGAGATACATTTCTTTAAAAAAAACTGTGTCGCCAAATATAAAAAATTTGCGTGTTCACAATAATTAAACTTTAGGATTTATTCTATAATTTGAGTGGGTTAAGAAGCTTAACTTTTCGAGAGTTTTCTTAACTTTTTAGTTTGAATTTTTGTTTTCAATAATTATGCAAACATTTTCGAAGTCGTGTCCGTTAAAATCAACAATTTTTTACATGAATTATATTTCATTCCATACTTTAAATGCCAGAACGCTTTCAATTAATGTCTAGTCTACTCATTTGCTATATTTTCTCGTTTGTTTTACTAATTTTTGACAAATTAATAAGCATGTTTTTGTTTTAGAAATTGATATTCAAATTCCCCGCCATATTTTCATAATTTGGTGCATGCGCAGACGTTTTTCCGCGGTGTTGGACTGGACACACTTGGACAAGAAAAATTATGAAATGTGCGAAAGCAGGGCTGAAATAAAACAAGATGACATCGAAGTGTTTTAAAAATATTTGATATATTTATGATCTGTGCATTTGAATGGAGTTCGCCAAACATTCTGAGGCCAGGAACACTTCCAAGCCAACATTACAATAATAACTTGTTTTTTAAAAAATATGATTGATTTTTATCACTACAGCAATTACATAAGTCATAACGTTCGCAAGCAAATCTGTTTTTCAGGCTTTAAATATTATCACAATCCTAAACATTTAGGACCGTACACAGCGGGGAGACAGGGGTGGGGGGCAAATTCCCCCTTGAGAAAACTATATTTGCGATTTTTAGAATGTCATTAATTCGTCTTCGGATATTTGGGACTTTTTTCTGCATATAGACCTTACTGCCCCTGGTGAAAAAATCCTGCGTACGGCCCTGTCAACATTCTAGGACACGCATACCGTAATTTATCATTTTTTGGCGGGAAGGGGGTGTTTCTAATATATACAAAGAATCTGTTTGCACTGGTTTGATTCTCTTTAATTAAATATGTCGCAACATCGGGTACTGTGATTTTCAGTCAAATATCATAATTATCTTTCAAATACAATACTTTCATGCTTCACGATTTTATTCATTAATTGCTTACAGGAGAGGGCCGGGGTGGGGAAGGGGTGGTGTTAAACAGAGAAATTACGATAACTAACAATCTAATTTATTTTCTAAATTTTTCCCCGCCAATTTTATTGAGTCAAAGTTGGTTGGTCCAAGTCTGGAACTTCATTACGACTCTGTTTTTGTATCAGCCAATTTCATCCTCAAACGGCTTTTCGCCAATCCAATTTGTGCAATCATCATTCTCAGTTTATAAAAGAAAACAAAGAAGAAGGAAACAGCCTAGTATGTTATAGGAGGTATTGTTATACAACAGCATTTCGTGACGTTTGCAATCTAATTATAATAGACAAATTTAGATCGAGGACGCGGACGTCAAAGACGACGTCAAAATGGCGTGGCATATCCATACATGGGCACAACACGCCATTTTCACGTCGTCTTTAACGTTGGCGTCCTCGATCTAAATCTGTCTATTAGACATGCGCATACGCATAATTATGCGCAATAACTTGTGCGTACGACGCACGCATATCAGGAGGAAGGGAGTTTCGTCTTGTCTAATTAGCATTAACAGCCTTTCCGAAACACAATGTCCATTCTCTGTCAATTAATTTTAAATATGTTATCCAACAGCATTAAGTCGAAAATCGGAACAAGACCAACAGATTACCTGACTCGATCTGACTGAGTAATTTGCCTCTTTATCAAAACATCACTGCTCTCCAAAATGTCTTCAGCGAAACCGTCATCAGTACTCTGAGTGGACTCCAAAAGTTGCCCACCATGAAGTAAATTGCCGTTTCCAGCACCATGATCATCACCATCATCATCATTACCTTCAGCATCATCTGTTTTCCATCGCCTTCGATCATCAAGCAGTCAGCCTAAATATGTTATCTAACAACATGAAGTCTCAAGTCGGAACAAAGGCAAGCAGGTGATTAACACGATGTGGGTAAATAGGATTCTCTCAACCTGAACTCGGACAAGTTTTGCACCGTCTGATTCCTACAACCTTGATCTACACTGGACCCACCTTGTTCAAGTTATTACAACAAATGATTACCTTACCTAGACCGAGTACTTTACTGTTTATGAAAACATCACTGCTCTTCGAAAATGTTAGCAACGATATGTCATATAAAACTTCTCCGAGTTCAAGTTCAGAGAAACATATTTACCCACAACGTGTTAATCATTTGTTGGCCTTTGTTCCGATTTGCGACTTCATGTTGTTAGATATTTAGAACATATTTAATCTGATTGTTTGAAGATCGAAAGCGATGGAACACAGATGATGATGATGATGATGGACAACCTTTGGAGTCAGAGCCTATGACGGTTTCGCTGAAAACGTTTTCAGAGACATAGCCAGGTTGGGGACCGAGAGGCCAGCCCGCGAAAATGTATTCTATATAAGAAGAAGTGAAACATGGCCCTAACTAGGTTTCTGCTGTCGCCCCCCTCCCCCTCCCCCTCTGATCAAAAATCTTGGATACGCTTCTGGAGATTTTGGAGGGTAGTGATGTATTGAGACCTTTTGATAAAAAGCAAAGCACTCAGTCTGAGTCAGGTAATCTGTTGATTTTGTTCCGATTTTGGTCTTAATGCTGTTGGATACCAAATTTATATTTACTTGAGTACTGATGGACAGTGTGTTGCGGAAAAGTTGTCAATGCTAATTAGACAAGACGGAAACTCCCTTTCTCTTGGTATGCGCGCTTTAGAGATATATACAATAGATAATATATAATAGAAATATAGGAAAATTTAGTAATTTAGTTAGTATCTCTTGTTTGAAGGCTTTTGTCTCTAATGTTAAAATATTTTGCAATGAATTTTGAAAATAGATCGATTAAAACTGAATCAGTACTTGAAATAACATGACTCAATAAGTTTTGCTTTGACTCTGTTACAAGAGTCATTTGAAAAATGTTTTTCAGTATATTGCTGGAATCATTCCTAATGTTTTCATAATTTTGACATTCGAAGGCAAAGTGAAATTCGTCTTCGACTTTCTGTGTGCCGCATAATTTACAATATCTTTCTTCACGGGGTATATTTCGATAACGGCCGTATTCTATAAGTAGTTTGTGATTACTTATTCGGAATTTTGCAAACATTCTTCTTTGGGATGGGTCTTTTATTGTGTTAAGATATTCTTCCATTTTATAGTTCTTTTTAAATGTATAGTAAAATGATAGTTTTCTGGAATTTCTTACTTGATCATTCCAGAATGAAACATAGTTGTCTTTGACGCTTTTTTTGATGAAAGAGTCTATAATCGTGTCTTTAGTAAATGTTTCTAGATCCATTGTATCGTCCAGTTCAGGAAGATATCTTTTCAAAACGTTTATAACATTGGAGTAAAAAGATTCATTATTGTTCATGTATAGCTCTTT